AGAATCGTCGTTCCATTTAGCAACACGAGGTTCGCGCCCCCCAGACCCGACTAACTTGCAACCGCTGAATGCCGTACAAGTTAGACCCCAATGCGCGACCCGCCTATTTTAGCTCAGGGTTTAATACCAGTTGGCAACAGCTTCCCTTAAGCAAGCCCAAACGTTAAATTATTGAAAACGTACCGTTTTGTTCGAGATCTATTGTTTCAGTTAAGGTAAAAGAAATTATATGCCGGTCCCGGGCTTATTCAGGAGACAGTCTTAACTTATTATAAGATCAGTTTATTTGGCGTGATTATATTAGTAGTGGAGAAACATACGATGAACTGTTCTTCAGTCCGTCGCCTGCGCGACACATCGACAAGTAAGGCTTGAAGCGGCCGAGGATGTGGAAGTTGGTATACACCTAAAGGACTTTATCATTTGTGGAAGTCTCCGGATGTAACGCCGAACGGGGTTGTTAATCACTACAACACACAAACGTATAGGCAGAAAGCAGAATAACAAGGTAGCTATAAATAAGATATGTTACGATAAGAGAGTTAGACAACAGTAGGGTGGGAGAGAATACAATACGAAAAGTTACCATGGGCCTGTACAATTAATCCATTTGGAGTGAGGGGTGGTCAAAAAATCTCAGTCAGATACTGGTGGGGAGTGCAGCGCTGTGGACAACTGCGGGTGAGGGCCATTTGGGTGCTGGCAGTAGACGAGGTGCGGTACGATTCGGTAACAGTGACGAGAGGAGTGACGTGAGTAAGGCGAAGAGAAGAACATATGTGATCTCCAACAGACGTTCAGATCATCCTCATCCGGATCCGCGCCATGAGTGACCTTGGTACGTTAAAACATACATGGTCCGATATGGTTCGTTACAGGCTCCTTCATGCTGTTTGAGCGTAACTTCATTCGCTTCTACTGCCTTTGAAGAAACTAACAGAACAAGGTATTTCTGTTCTATCTCACATGAGACGAGAATGACACACGGAGTGACCAATCAAGGGCGTAGCTACTGTCATAGCAAGTGCTCGATATGTCACTTAGTCGATTAAAACGAATTCGAGGATTAGGAGGAGTAAATTCGTACTGGCACGCGAGCTATCCGACGCTAACCGATAGTCTCTTTACGTTCGACACTTTGTCCACTGAACTGGATTCGGACATTTAGTTGGTGCGTGATAAGGGAGAGGAATGAGTTTAAAAAACACCTAGCCCTAAATTCCTCTCTATACTATATATATTTCATGCTTTTCAAGTCTAACAGATCTTTAGTTATCGGGCTTTAAGTGTTGCCAACTAGCAGAATAATTCAGTCCTCTATCAGACTAAGATGCAGACTGCATTAGTCTCGTTTGCATGTATCCTCTACTGTTACTATTAGCGATGAAAGGTACGAGTTAGAAAAGGCAGATGTCAGTAGATGGAGCGACTGGTATGCACGTAGCAAGCGTAGATGGGGCAGTATGGCACATCCTTCCTCGCACCCACGTACCGTATGCTGTAAACTATACCAGACGCCGTTCCACAAAACACTGAGTATCATCATCGCTCTCGACGGAAAACCTACAAGGATTGATTTCGCCTTTATGTACATAGACCTCAGGAATATCACGTCGTCAAAACCAGACAGTCCTGCCTTCCTCGTTTTTTTGCCTAGACTTCTTGCTTACTTGGTTAAACTCCACTTTAGGTGTCCTAGTCACTATTGGGATAGATATATACAATATTTGTTTAGATCTCGCTGACCACAGAGTCAGAAGACAGACTCTTAGTCATCAATGTCGGTGGGGAAGACAAAATGCATTCATGTGTGGTCTGAATAAGGTTAACCATTACCGCATGAACCCATTTCTCTCTCGGTAAGTTTCAGTTGATAAGCCATAATAAATGACCCTAGTAGAAAGGAAGTCGTGGTTAATAGACATACTGCCCTATAGACTAAAATAAAAATTTTCAGTTTACACATTTTCGTTGTGCTTTTCTTTTACTTGAATTGCTTTAATCTTCTAAACGTTACGATTTATATTATTTTTTGTAGTCTCCCTCGGCGCATATAATCTGTATGCTAAGCGCGCCAGCTTTAAGGATGATGGCGTTCTGCAGCAGTTCGTTGCCGAAATGGCCGGCCAACCGGTGATTGCACCTCCGGTTCTTGAAGAGGTAATATAAACTTTCCAAGAGCTATTTTGCATGTTTCTATTATAAAGAGACATCTTAACAGTAGTAGGCAAACTTGCATTTGACGCAAATATTTTTCTACACTTAACACAGATGCGTTTTCAGTAAAACCGCCCTCCACCTGCATGCAAGATCGGAAACAACTACACGCCTCCATATTTATAGTGCCGATAGCCTTTCAGATGACATTCATATGTAAGCACTCTAACGTTTTTCTCTCCACCACGCTTCAGATATATTGTTATTCATAAGTCGAATATTGTTATTCATAAGCGAATAAAGTGGCCATACGTCGACCCAAACATAGTTGTAAAATGGGATAGCCAGGCACTGTTTTATCGTATCACTCGTGTAAGAAGAAGCGGTCTTTCCAAAACACATGCAGCCTTTTCCGTGTCAGTATCCAAACCAAAAACTTGACAGTCGATTTGGGAATATAATTTTAGTAGCCCAATATGCCATACTTTTAAATCATTACTTTTTCAGAACCAAAATGGAAGCTTTAGGGCTAACGCAGGAAGTCGTTCCCATCGTCATATATATGCGTCACATCTTCGGATGGCCAGCTTATGTTTATTTGTGCGGGTCTCGAGCTTACGACCTGTATAACCTATGTAGAAACGAGGGCGTCAGCACACGGAATACGGCAAATTACCTTGGCTTGGCGCTCTTTCGGTTTATGGTCTTTAGCGCGAGAGAGAGGTACCCTCAGGAAGGACGCCAGCTACTGAGAGATGTTAATGCCGGGCAGATTTAGTTGTCGGGCGATCGCTTCAGAAAGTTCGACAAGGACTAGATGAAGTCGTGTAACAAAGCCTAAGACCGAAATTAA